GCAGTGGATGTTAGCTCAGGGTGAATCTTCCTCAGCAAAAAAATAATAAAGATTTCCTTAAACCTGGGTCTTTTGAAGCTCAAACCTAAGATTTAATTCTTTTGTGTTTCTTTGCATTTTGGCTAAGGCCTCCTTATTCTGGGACAGTAGAGGCCTTGGTTGAGTTTGAACAGGCAAGGATAACTGAGCAAATAAGAGAATCTTACTAGGGCCGTCCTGGTGATGTAGTGGTTAAGTTTGCACACTCCGCTTCAGCGGCTCAGGGTTCGTGGACTTGGATCCCAGGTTCAGACCCACACACCGCTCATCAAGCCATGCTGTGGCGACATCCCATATGCAAAATAGAGGAAGATTGGCAACTGATGTTAGCTCAGGGCCAATCTTCCTCACCAAAAAAAAAGGGAATCTTACTTTTCTCTCTGATGCTCTTGTCCAGCGAGCTCTTGTAGTTGAATACAAAGATCATACAACCACACTGGATTATTTTTTGTATTTTCCACAGCAGACCTAAACCTCATACATTTCAGTTGGGAATCTAACTGGTTGTGAGTAACAGAAACAGATTTTAACTGGAAAGGAATTTATTGGAAGAATGATGGGTAGCTCAGAGAATGGATGGGGAAGCTGGAAACTGGGTGAGAAAAGGGGACCCCTGAACCAGGGTTAGAACCAGAGCCAAAGTCACACCACAGGCAGTTTGTCGAGGACAGTGCCACTGCTGCTGAGCCAGGATGCCACAGCTTCCCACCCAACGCCACCAGAACCACAGCCTCCACATGGCTGGCTGGTCCTGTTGCCCCAGAAACTAATCTTTGTATGACTAGCATCTGATTGCTGAGCCTCAGTCATGTGCCTAGGCGTTGGCTACAACAGGGGCTGGGAAATGGAGTTCCTGGCTATTTCAGGAAGCTTCTATAGAGATATACACTTTTCCACCAAGTCTCATGTAGTGGGAATAAATTCCCTAAACATAAGGCGGGGGGGGGGTCAACACTAGACAGTAAAAGAGAAAAAAAAAGGATAAATATCCACTACTGTTATTTAACTGAAGGAAATGATGATCTGAGCACATGCTATCCATCCAGTCATCTGGCCGTTCCAAAAAGTATTCCTTATAGTTATTAGGTTGGAATGTTCCAGAGAGCCTGTTAAAACCTTTTGTTTTCTTTTATCTAAAGAATAAAAAAATTGATCCTCAGTGTTTCCCTTTTTATCCTGATTTGCAGGAAGCTCAGGGCTAATGTTGAATCACAGGAGCTATAATCACCCAGAACCCTGATTCTCAAAATGTTCCCCAGGGAGCCCAAGGGCCTCATGGATGTGCCTGGGTGATGGGTAAGTCAGAGGCTCTCTGCTCCTTTCTGCCTGCTGACTTGAAGGCAGGAGTCCTAACTGTTTATACCTGTGGGTTCTCCTGAGGACCACATCTGATTCAAGGCCTCCATGGCTAAGAAATCCTGACACTTCTGCTGGGATTGATGAGCCCACTTGCCTCTTCCTCCCTCAGGGTCCACGTTTCCTATTTCCGTGTCAACAGTTTCACTTTGTACACATAATAGACGGCACCACGAGCACTTTTCTGGAAGCAGGTGGATATAAATCCTAGAGGAGTCACTCCCTCTGGGGCACTGAGAGGATTCCCTGGGGCGGGTTCTGCTGGGACCCATGTAAACAAACACCTGCTGCTGACTGAGTCCCTCACGGCAGGTCCAGGTTCATCCCTGGGCCCTTCAGGCCTCTCTGAGCCTTCACGATATTTTCTGCAGCTGCTCTGGAAGCTCTTTTGCTTACAGATTTGCTGGTATTTCACATTTATTAAAGGTTCCCTGTCCAGTACAGTATTTCTGTCAAATGAAGTTTTTGTTTTATTTTCAAGTCTATCTCCTGAACCCAACAAAGCTTAATACTAATCTGAGATTTCCATCATATTTCAAAACCAGGCTTTTCCCCTGGCCCTTCACCTGACCAGCTAGACCTGTTCTCTACTGTTTCCTGTAGATTTGGGTTGAGTTCTTGAAGTTTTCGAAGCTGGAAGGAAGTATTATCTTGGATTCTCTGCCCTTTTTGAAAGTTTATTTTCTTCATTCCATTGAAGACAGTCTTGGAAAGAGAGGGATAATATGAAATATCTATTGCTGCCTCAGTTTACCTACATTGAGGATATCGTGTTCTTTGTAAGAACGCAGTTTTGTTTTTTGTTTTGTTTTGTTTTGTGAGGAAGATCAGCCCTGAGCTAACATCCCTGCTAATCCTCCTCTTTTTTTGCTGAGGAAGACCGGCTCTGAGCTAAGATCTATTGCCAATCCTCCTCCATTTTTTTTTTCCCCAAAGCCCCAGTAGATAGTTGTATGTCATAGTTGCACATCCTTCTAGTTGCTGTATGTGGGACATGGCCTCAGCATGGCCAGAGAAGCGGTGCGTGCCTAGGATCTGCACCTGGGCCGCCAGTAGCAGAGCGCTCACACTTAACCACTAAGCCACGGGGCCGGCCCTAGAATGCAGTTTTATTTTTTTATTTTTTATTTTTATTTTTCCTTTGTGAGGAAGGTCAGCCCTGAGCTAACATCCATGCCAATCCTCCTCTTTTTGCTGAGGAAGACTGGCCCTGAGCTAACATCCGTGCCCATCTTCCTC